GTCAGAACTCTCTGACATGACCTGTCCGTCTTGGGTGGCCCTGCATGGTATAGCTCATGGCTTCACTGAGTTACACAAGCCCCTTCGCCATGACAAGGCAGTGATCCATGAAGGGGATAGTACCCAGTATCCATTAAAAATAGTTGCTCAGGAGGTAGTTATTTTATTTATTTATGAATACTTGAGCCCATTTTCTATTAAAGCATTTCCAAGACGGTATAACTGTATAGTTATAATTTGATAATGTCTATGCTGTTTATTGTCTAGGAGCAGGTTGTCTAAAAAACTGTCTGCAACTTAATATGCTTGTGGAGTCTTTTAAAGACTTTACTGCTTTACTCTTGGGCTCCTACCTTCCAAGGTGAAGTGAATTAAATTTGCGGAAGAACCTAATTACAGAGCAAATGTCCTGCCCAGCTTGTCCTGCCAGGAACTTAGCTTGTTAAGTTTGCCACATAGAAACAGACTTCTCTTTCCTTTTGGATTTTTGCTGTCTTTGTGCTGTTTTGTTTTTGTCCTTTGTCCAATGGGTTTATAATAGTAGATGGGATTTCTATGTTGTATTGATTTTTTTATTTGTTTGTTTAATTTATATAGCTGCCCATCTCACATTTCTGACTCTGGGTGGCACACACAATTAAAATAACTAAAACCAAAAAAAATCTGGATTGATTTGTTTAATGATTCATCAGTTTGTTTTCTTGGCTGTCCACAGTATTCTCAGGAGTCTTCAACACCAAAGTTCAAAGACATCAATACTCTTCCTATCCTGCTCCTTCAAAATCCAACTTTCGCTTCCATAGAGCGTCACAGGGAATACCATGGCTTCCACTATTCTGATCTTTGTAGACATAGACACATCATGGCATCTGAATATTGTTTCCAAGCCCTTCATGGCTACTCTATGTTACGCTAGTCTACAGCATATTTCTTGACTGCTTGGTCCTTTATGTTGATGTCTTCATTATCACTTCTAAGACTGGTTGTTGTTCCTGTTGTCATTAATTTGGCTGTCTTTATATTTAATTTTAGTCCTATTTTTCGCTATGCTCCTTGACTTTTATTACTAAACTTTGCAGATTCTTTGCATTTTCAGCTATTAGAGTGGTGGCCCAATAGAAACACCCTTAAAATTGCTGGGAAAATCCCCAAGC